TCAGTTATGTATCGAAAGATACATGATCGCTTGACTGAGCCAGTATCACTCATGGCACATTACTGACTGACTGAACAAGCCCTCGTATTTATTTCCCTCTGCTAGTAAAATTCCAGTTAATTATGTTGCTTTTAATTTTAAGCAATTTCATATAAAAATTAGTGTTCATTAATTTATTTATTTACCTATCTATTTTTAACTCGGAGCGTTTAATTTATTTCCTGGGATCAAGAATTTTAGATCCATCTGACTTCTGGCCGGTGAAAGAGAGAATAATTGTAAACTGTATCTCAGCCAAAGGGGGAGTGGCATGAGGAAGGAAGACCGAGAGACGCACGGTAGTGGGAGGAGGTAGCCGTATTGTCTCGTCCGGATTAGAGTGACGCTTTTTAGCGGAGATTCGGGACTCTTGATGATCCGTTCGCTATTTCAGAGAAAAGGCCTCCACAATGGTAGTTGTTAGAAGCGAAGGGCATGCGTATGTCTCTCAATGGCAGACAACATGGCGCGGTGACTTGAAGCTTAAGCAGATGTTTATTGTTTGATTTACTTTTTGTTTGATTCCATTCGAAATTCAACATTAGTCTTGTTTATTTCACTTTATTTATTTTGTAATCTAACTTCATCATTATTATTATTATTATTCGTCGTCGTCATCTTTTTAGTATGTTTGTTTTTTATTTTTTTATTGTTATTATTATTATTATTTGAAGTTTTATATCTTCTTATTTTAATTATTATTAGTAGTAATAGTAGTAGTAGCATTTTTATATGAGCTTCTTTTTCTTCTCTTTCTTCTTTTTCTTATTTAGTCTTACATCGTTTAATCAGTAGTAGTAGCAGTAGTTTGAGCTTCTATTTCTTGTCTGTCTTCTTCTTCTTAAGTCTTATATCGTGTAATTATTATTAGTAGTAGTAGTAATCTTATGTTAGCTTCTCTCTCTTCTTCTTTTGTTCGTATTATTCATACTCTTATTATTATTCTCATTTCTTATTATTATTATTATTATTATTATTGTCATCATCATCATCAGTCAAGGGAGGCAGTCCATCTAGGGAAAAGAAAAACCTGATTTTAAACCTCTGCTACTTTGCGGTCACATCCAAAACATGGCAAAACCTATGGAAGTAAATCCAGAGTGGAGCCTCGAAGGCGGTTGGCACTCAACACTAACAAGTTCTGACCCCAAATGTAATGCCCTATATTCCTTTAGATCTTGTCGGTACAACCGGGAGTGTGTGGCCATGTAGTCTGGGCAGTACACAACCTCTAGATGCCATCAAGCCTACACCCTGGAGAGGTCACGCCAGTCTCATCGCCAAAAGACTGAATTTTGACCAATCATGGCGCTACCTTAATCTCGTGAGATAAACGGATGTCTTCTATTACAATTACTACTACTACTATTATTATTATTATTACTACGATTACTACTACTACCATTATTATTATTACTACTACTGCGATTAATGCTACTACTACTATTATTACTACTACGGCTACTACTATTACTACTATTATTTTTATTACTACTACTACGACGAGAATTGGTATTATATAACAGTTCAATACTCTTTGTTTCTAAAGATATTTTTCTGTCCTTTGTAGCTCTTAATAAGATCTGTCTTTTTGCCATCTCTCCCAAACCCTTTTCCCGCCAGGTAGGCTGTACGTTGTTTTCCTTTGACCCTCTTACCTTCAATCTGTCCTGGGAGCATCCTATTTTCCAAGCCCTCTTTCCTCATTATGTGACCCAGAAATTTCAACTCTCTTCCTGATATCAAGTATAAGCATCCTTTTTGTTTCCATTTTCTCTAGAAATTCGCCGTTGCTCATCTATTTCCATTTTCGTCAATTCGTTTCCCACATGTTCAATAATTGGCATTCCCAGCATCCTTCTGTAGAACCTAATTTCTGTTGCTTCAAGTCTCTTCTTCATCTGCGAGGAGATTGTCCAGCATTCACTGCCACATAGGAGGATTAATTTAACATAACAGCTCAGTACTCTTTTCTAATGAAATTTTGCTATTTCTAGTGAAAAGGGGTAATATTGTGATTTCCCAAGCGTAGCTTAGATGTGGCACAAGGCCGAAAATATGAGGCACCCAGTGAGAACTCACTACTAATAATAATGTAAATAAAACAAAATAAAATAAAATCTGCCAATCCCGCAAAAATAATGGAATATTCCGCTTTGATTGCGTGAAAAGATGGGCAAGAAACTACTTGATTTTAGTGAGAAATGAACGAATAGGCGGTAACACTCACATGTGTAAAAAGTTGTCAATTTCAAGTCTTTTCATTTGTACCCCCTTACTTCTTAAAATAACGACTAACATTCATATTTAAGATTTTTATTGCAATATTTTGTTAAAGTTGTTAAGCTCAAATATTTAACGATTCGATAGGGGATTTTTTACGAATATTTTATTTTCATAGAACGCGTCGTGAGCTTATTCAATCATTAAGTTAAGAATAAAGATTCATCAAAAAACTAAAATAAGAAAAATCCTGAAATTTTCGCGGGACTTTCTAGTTATTTATATTCATTCAAAAGGAGTGAACTCAATACAGCGTAGGCATTGATCCGAGTCGGACTTTTCCATCTGGATTCTTCTGGGGAGTTGGCAGAGAAGGGGACGGAGGTTTTCCCGTCGGAATGGATGCTGCAGATGTAGTATCTGTTCCATGCCGGAGGCCTTCTCCCTTCCCTTACTTTCCCCCACTATTGCGTGACATCTGTTACGTAGTGGTGGTATGACCGGCTATGACTAGCTCAAACAAGCTATGACCAGCCTAGACAAGCTTTAACCAGCTTAGATCAGCAATAGGTAGGGCACCTCGGCGTGGTGTAAGGGTTAGCAAGCTTGTCTCGCTAAATCAATTACAACTGAAAAGTGAGTTCGATCCTCACTAAGTGCCCCATACTTTCGGCCTTGTGCAACATCTAAGCTACGCTTAGAAAATAACTAGACCAGCAATAGGTTAATTAGTACGACTTTCATATCAGTAAATTATTATCTTCAAAAATGTCTTACAATCTTAATATATTTTCTGGCTTTAAATAACATGGAAAGATTTCATAGGCCGTAAAAAAACAAATCAGTCAGTCAAAAATCAAAACAGTTTTTTCAAGAATATAGGTTTTTCAAGTCTAGTAGTTGTTATTGATCTTTCTACTATTGACGGGGGTTTCCTTCCTTACCTTTTGCTTGAAGTAGTGGGGAATATCAACATCATTATTTACACTTCGACTTACAGGCGCTATGCATTTTAGTTGTTGCTGCTGTTGAAAGTCCTCAAGTGATACGTGTTGCCGCCAGATCTGATGAAGAATGGTCCTCGCTAAGACGTACTGGATTCATTCATTCACAGCCATTTTTAATCATTAATCTGTGAAAACGTTTGCATACAGCTGATAGGATAGGCGTTCCACTTCTCTACTCGTTCGTTATTTTATTTTTAAAAATTTTTCTTTTTTTTTTTAAATTTATCTATCGCTTCTGTATTTTCCGACATCTTTTTTTTTTTTTTTCGACCGATTTACTTACTATCTTGCCATACTATTGTGATGCGTGTGCCCGACGACGTTGTGTAATTGTTACTAAGCGTGTCTCGCTAGATCAATTAGGAATGAATCATTATTTTGAGTGCTCTTTTTTTTCGGCCTTGTTCACGTCTAAACAACGCTTAGTCAATCATCTGGGCACTTCGTCGTGGTTTAATCATTACCAACAAGATTGTCGAGCTAGATTTCTTATTTTTACTGTAAGGTTCACTCTATATAAGGCCCGGTAGATCGCCAAAGTTCAGCACAGTTGTACCCGGTCAGTACCTAGATGATACAATCACCGAAGATCAACACCGTTTATAGTTGGTCAGTACCTAGATGGTAAGGTTCACTCTATACAAGGCCCGAGGGCCACTCAAGGTAGATGGTTATGGTAAGAAGCAATTTGTTCAGATAAGAGGGGAAGAATACGGTTACCCCTAGACTTGAACTGATTAAGACGGTAATGATCGGGGAAATATCCTTTTGCGAGTCGATTCCACAGAGCATTGGTTCGAGGGAAGAAGCTGTTCGAGTGGAACTTACTTCTCACCAATGGAATACGAAAGGGATTTGGGTGGTTTTGCCTCAGCGAGACCAAGGAATGTAGTTCGTCCGAATATTTTTTTGTGGACGTACTGATAGATCCACAAGAGGCTTGCCTGTGAGAGAGAGGTTGGAGGGTGAAAAATAATTCGTCACCTACTCGATTCTCACTGAGTACCCCATATTTACGACTTTGGGCCACAACTAAGCTATTCTTAGTGTTATGATGTTGATTTGGGGTTAGTAGAGACAAACGCCAAATAACACGTAACAATAAAAAGGGTTTTAATAGGTTGGTAAAAAGGTACAGATATCGCCTGAGTAGTCAATAACTAGCTCAGCTAAGAACTTCTCTGTCTATCTCTCTCCCTCATGTCAACTGACATGCCACTATTTAAAGTCTTTGTTCACAGACGCAGACAAGTTCATCTTCAAGAGGGGTGGTAGGTTTCCGACACAACATTTAGTAATTTACTTACATTGTTGCGAGAAGATGCCCAGTAATACGCTATTATGAATAATTTCAAAATATAAAAGTAATTGGGAAAATATCTTTACTTTTATTCCATTAATTGAAAGATTGTCGATCGATTTTGATAGTAAGACGTTTTTGTTTTCAGTGAACGATATTTGACTAATGTCGTCTCGACTAAAAATAAAATAAAATAAAATATAATATAATAATCGGTATTTTGTATATTTTTTCTTTTATAAAGGATATTGGCCATTGGAGTCAGAATCTTCTAAGGAGTACGTAACAAATCACCTGCTGAATCAGCCGGCCCTGAATTTCATATTTACTACTACCTCAGGTATTAAATTGTTAATATCGGATATGTCTTATTATTTCTGCTTTAAGCAATACATTTCGTTCTTTTTTTGTCCCCCCCCACCACCAAAAAATTTAATAACGATTCATTTGACGACCCTTGGACTGCAGACAAACGTTATTTGGGAACAGTCGCATAGACTGTTCAAACTATCGAACTCTCTGCTTTGGCAGAGAGTCAACCAGACGAAGCTTTGCCGAAGGGCAAAGTTTCCTCCGGGGAGGTAGACAGATCCCGAACCCGCTTAAGAGGGTTCTAAGGGAATATTTTTGGCCGAGCTTACGAGCTCGGAGAAACCCACGTTAAACTCGGCCTTGTGCCACATACATTCCTCGTGGGGGGGGGAATGTTAAATATACTGTCGAACTCTCCGCCTCGAGTAGAGAGGAACCCGGATGAGGCTTTGCCGAAGGGCAAAGTTTCGTCCGGGGAGGTGGACACACCCTGAACCCGTTTATACGGGTTCTAAGGGAACCTTTTTTGGCCGAGCCTAAAAAATGGAGGACCCACAGTAAACTCGGCCTTGTGCCACATACACCTCTCGTAGGGGAGGGGGGGTCTGTTAAATATAGCAGTCAAACGTTATTGCAGAAGGAATTTAAAACTCCTAACATTTATATATATATATATATATATGTATATCTATATATATATATATATACATATATATATATATATAACCTACACACACAAATAAACCAAAACACACAACAATGTGGAGGACTTCGCCAAACTAGTTCGAGATTTTATATTTCGCGAATCTTCGTTGAGCGCTCGGGCCATATAATCTTTGTCCTGTGCCAAAAGTGATTTACCCGGAAATGCTTTATTATTATTGAAGTTTTCTGACAGTAATTTAGGTGAGTGTTTCCATTTTTATTTCATTTTCAATGAACGATAAATCGCCTCCCAATTGAAGACAGGGGACTACGGCTGTCGATATTCTGTGTTCTATTTATTTATTTTTTTACTTGTGTTATAAAGTACGGACGCCATGATGAAATAAGCAAAAGAGATTGTAACAACTCACCTGCCGAATAAGCCGGCCTTGAATTTCATATATCTAACCCAACCCCACATGAAATTTTAAATATAGGATTAGAATTTTCAGAGAGAGAATATTTACTTTGATAATTGTAGAATTAAAGACTTCGGAATAAATGCGATGTCAATATGAATAAAACCATGAAGAACGGGTGTTTAAGTAAATACAGTGTAACCCGGATGTAAGAGAGTTGTCGGGACCGGAGACGGAGTCTCTTATATCCGGGTTTGGTCTATTTTGTTTAGGTTAACACAGGCTCTAATTTCGGACCAGAGAAAATCTCTCTTATATCCGGGTTACACTGTATCATATTTCTACCGTTGTGCCGGAACCCAAGTAGTTTCAATTTTTTGATAAAGGTTTCTCGGGGAAAATATAATTTAAAAAAAAAAAAAAAAGTAGTTTTTGTTTTTTTTTTTTTTTTGCCTATATAAAAGAAAGTTTGCTTTAATCGGAATAAATGGAAGACAAAATGTTACTATATGTTTTTAGTTTGTTTTTTTTTTTTTTATTATTACAGTGTAACCTGGATATAAGAGAGTTGTCGGGACCGGAGAAGAAGTCTCTTATATCCGGGTTTGGTCTATTTTATATAAATTAACACGGGCTCTAATTTAGGACCAGAGAAAATTTCTCTTATATCCGGGTTACACTGTACTAAGTTAATGACTGAATAGTGAATACAATTTGCCCCATTTTTTTCCAGCTTTATGCAATGCAATTCGTTTTTTTTTTTTTTTTTTGTTTTAATTTAATAACGATTCATTTAACGGCAATTAGACTGGAATCAAACATTATTGCAGAATGATTTTAAATTTTTAACTCTTGGAGAAAAACAAAATGAAGAATGTTGTCAAACTCATTAATGCCTTTGCCGTTCTCGAATCCTCTATAGCCTCTTGAACCATGAAACTTTATTCCGTGTCTAAATTGTATTATCCGGAATTTTTATTTTCAAAGTAATGTCTTCCAACAATAATTCAGGTGAGTGTTTTCATTTTTTCTTCTCGATTTTTTTTCTTTGCTTACAGCGAATTCTGTTCAGCAAACAGTAACCCCGCCCCAACTAAAAATAAACATGAATCTATTAGTATTCTGTATTTTATATTTTTATTTTTCATGGGTACTTCGAGTCGGTGTAATGGACATAAATTGTCTAAATAGAACAATTACGACTGAGAGGTGAGTTCGATCAAATGGTGGTTACTCAATACTTTCGGCCTTATGTTACATCTAAGCTACGCTTGGAAAATCAGTATATTTTTACTTTTCATTGGTAAATGCTTACTATCCCATCCATTTTCCTTATTGACTTAATGCGCATGATCAATTTCCGTCCGACCTCCCCCTCTTCCAGGTTGTGACACAGGGTCGGTTTTTAACGTGGGGACGCGAGTGTTTCCACTCGAGGCCATTGGTCAGAGCTGAACATACTACCGCTACATAACAGATGTCACGCAAGTGTAGCGGAGGGGGATGAAGCAAATGAAGAGAGAAAGCCTCCAACACGTAACAGATACTATATTTTTTGCAGCATCCATCCCGAGGGGAAAAATCCATTCTCCTACTCCTGCCAATCCTCCCGGAAAAACCTAGAAAGAGAAACCCCTAATCAATTCCAATAAAAAACTTCACAATCGTTTTAGATTGACATTGTTTAAAGAATATAAAATAATGGTCGGGGATAAGATGAGCAAAATATCATTTGTTTTTTGTAAATTATTGAAAGTTTTACTTTCAGCCAAATCTTTTTTTTGTTTGGGTTTAAATAATATATATATCTTCTCTTAGTTGAAATTCTCTGCTTTAATAATAAAAAAAAAATAACATGAAATCTAGTAATACTTGATAATTACATTCGCTTAATATTTTTGGTCTGAATTTTCTAAGTTGTGATTTAATGATTTTTATATGCCTTTGTCGGGCTATTTTTCCTTATTCTTATTGTTTATTTTTCCAAACATAAATAATTCTTTTAAATTAAAAATAATAAATATTTTCTCTAAGAGGATAATATATATATATATATGTATATATATATATATATATATATATATATATATATATATATATATTTGGTTGGACTATCTCTCAATGCACTTTCCAGACATTTTCGTCTTAGTGGATTATTTTCTATGTCAAAATTGTGGTCCGTTTCGTTACGGTGAACAACCAATGCGCTTTATGTGTTGTTGTTTAAAATGTCCCTTTTGTGTTCATATAGTCTTTTGTTTAAACTTCTTGGGGTTTCTGGAAATTCCTGCAATTTGATAGAGTAAATTCCTCCTTCAAGTTTTGGATTGCTCTTTTGTTTTTATTGATTAAGTCGTTGACAAACCTAACAAATCGTCTTCACACGCACACATATATCAAAATAAAAAAAACGAACAATCAAATTTATATCTACTTTATCATTTATTTTTTTAAACCAGTGCTCAATACACAGTACAGTGTAATATTAAAATTATTTTTATAAAAATGTCTTCATCGTGACACAGAAATTCTGATGTTTCGAAATCAGAACTTAAATCTTAAATTAAACTTAAAATTTAAAGTTTAGTTTTATTTTCAAGCAATGCTGAACTAATTTCGAATTTACTCTATTTATAATCTACATGGCATTATAAAGTTTAATTTGCTGGGAGAATGAAAATTAAAAAAAATTTTTAGGGGGGTGTTTTTTTTTTTTTTTTTTTGTTGTTGTTGTTTTTTTTGTTGTTGTTGTTGTTTTTTGTTGTTGTTGTTTTTTTTTTTGTTGTTTTTTTTTTTTTGTTTTGTTTTGTTTTTTTGTTGTTTTGTTTTTTTTTTTTTTTTTTTTTCTTGTTTTTTTTTTCTTGTTGGTTTTTTCTTTTTCTTGTTGGTTTTTTTCTTTTTCTTGTTGGTTTTTTTTTTTTTTTTTTTGGTTTGTTGTTTTTTTCTTTTTCTTTTTCTTGTTGTTTGTTTTTTCTTGGTTTGTTGTTTTTTTGTTTAACGAATCAAGATACAAGTATAATTTAAGGTGGCAAAGTAAAGATCGGTTACGGTTAGGTGTGGGTTTGAAATTTGTTGAGACTGACTTCTTTTTATGAGAACGTGTCATCAGTCTTTTTTTTTTTTTTTTTTTAAGAATACATTACACTACAATTGGCATTTTTATTTATTTTGTAAAATACATCGAGATTTTCTTAAAGGGTTTTCAAATATGATTAAGTCATAGTATTTATATTTTTATTTTTAAAGAACTAAAATACTTATTATATTAACTAATAAACCAATTACGGGATTGTAAAATTACAATATTATATTAGAATTAGGCATTTTCAAATTTTATATATATATAATGTCTGTGTCTTTTATATTTACATTGTTCATATCTGTCTGAATGATAGTCTGAGCTAGATAACACCTCATTGCCATTTTAACTCCCATTCCCAAACCCTCATCTCTGCAAAATCTTAGATACACTTTAGAAAATGCGCATAGAACCGTATAGACCGTATATTTATGTAAGTAGAGTCACAGAAAATTATACCTGCATATGTGCCTGCATCTACACTGATATATATATATATATATATATATATATATATATATATATTTAAGAAGATATAAATCTTTATATATCTTTTTAAATATTTTCCATCAGCTTACAGACTTGGCTGCTTGTTGGTCTCTACAAATTCTCAATTTATTAATCTTTAATGCACTTTCGAACGATTTTGATTTGTTCTCAAATGAAAAATGTGGAGAAAAGAAGCCAACATTTTGGCTTCTTAATCTGTGCGAATGTCGAAGAATTTTGGATCTTCGATCTTTTGATAGGCAATAAATCAATCATAGGTTTAATACTGTTTGATTGAGTTGCATCCACGATTTTATCCGATCGAATTCTCTCCTATACTAGCAAAGAAATGAATTGATAGAATGAAAACGATAGAGAAAGAAATGATAGTGAAAGGAATGACAGAAAGGAAATGAATGGAGAAAAAAAAAAGAAAAGGGATGACAGTAGAAGGAAGGAAGGAAGGAAGGAAGAATGAAAAGAACTTATAATGGAAGGAAGAATGAAACAAATACTAGTGAAAAGAAAAAAGGAATTTTGATGAGAAGGGAATAATAGCGAAATGAATGGACAAAGGAAGGAAATGATAACGAAATGAATAGAGAAACAAGGGAAGGAAATGAGCGCAAAAAAAAAATGGACAAAGGAAGGAAATGATAGCTGAATGAAGGAAGAAAGGAAATGAGCATGAAATGAATGGAGAAAGGAAGGAAATGATTAGCGAAATGAATGAAGGAAATGATAGCAAAATGAATGGAGAAAGAAGGGAAAGAAATGAACAGGAAATGTATGGACAGAGGAAGGAAGGAAATGATAGGGTAATGAGTGGAGAAATGAAGGAAATGAGCGCGAAATGAATGAAGGGAATGAAATGATAGCGAAATAAATCGAGAAAGAAGGGAAGGAAATGACCGCGAAATGAATGGACAAAGGAAGAAAGGAAATACGAAAAGAATGAAGCAAATATAAAAAGAAATGGTAGAGTAAAGAATGAGAAGAAGGAAATGATTATGGAAGAAATTAAGAAGAAAAATGAGAGCGAATAAAACGAAAGAAAATATGGCAGCGAAAAGAAAAAAATGATTTACTTAAATAAGGAATTTAAATTAAGGACTTAAATGACACAAAAAGGAACGAATAAATTAAAGAAAATTATTTAGAATATGCAAAAGTAATCAGAATGAAAGAAAGGAATAAAGAAAATTTACTTAAAAATAAAAACATACAAAGAAAATGTTTTTCTTACAAAAAATTACTAGAATATCGCAAGAAAGGACATTGACAAAGAAAGAAAGGACGTTGATAAAGAAAGAAAGGACGTTGATAAAGAAAGAAAGAAAAAAAGGACATTGATAAAGAAAGAAAGAAATATTCTGGTTGGAGGCCTAACAAAATAATGAAGAAACAAAATATATGCTTTTGTCTTTCTATCTCTTTGTTCATTCAGGAGGGAGGTGATCATTGTTCTCCATTAACCGCTTTATATATCCGAAAATCCCCACGATTCTTTGAAAAGTCAGTGATTTCCTGTCACCTTTCCCACAGTTTCGGAATTCAGAGTTGTCCTTCTATTAGATTGGCTGTCATCCAAGGTTAGAGATCCGAGTCTACCCTACTATTTAATCAATAAGTTTTTCAGGTCAGAAATCGATGTACGACTATTTTTGTATATTTCCGTGTTTTCCTCTGAATCTTCCAAGAATATAACTTATCCATAAGCTCAAAATCTTTTCTAATCATTTCCCTCCAAGCAAGGGAATAAAGCCACTAAGACGCAAGAGGTTAGTGATTGTGAGAGAATGAGAAAAGAAATACATTTTTAAGTGCACTGCAAGAGCAGGAAATAAGACAAAAGATAACGATTAACATTGCATTTAAATTTTTGAAGATCAAAGTTTGGGTTTGGTTTATTTTGTTTTACTGCATATCAACTCAATGGGTTATTTAATGCCGACAACATTTTTAGGATAAGTTCATATGAATAGAATAAGAATTCTTTGTAAAAAAAAAACAAAAAAAAAACAGTTTTTATTGACGTATTTTTTGTTAGGAGGATTTTTATTGAGTCAAATATATATCTGGTAATAATTTTTGTTTCGAAAATGTACTGCTGGTATTTTTTACTATAAAAAATCTATTTCTATACGTTCATGGTGTTTTGACCCCAGTTTGGGGATTAACTATTTCTTCATAGCTGGAACCCTAAGAGATGCTACCACCCCGAGTCGGGGTGGTTCCTGGGAACAACAGCAATTAAGATGTGGTTCCATGCTCCTCAAAACCCTCGGATCAGAGGCTGTTAAGTTCTATGCTAACAGTTTCCTCATCTCGCACTTCTCGCTTGTGAAATTCTATTCCGGCTTCTTGCTTTCCCGCCAACTTTGATCTTCAGAATTAAAATACAATGTCAATTGTTATCTTATGTCTTCTTAACTGCTATTCTATGTGTTTACTCTCCTCTCATATCCTCTCTCACTTATTAGCCGATTGCACTTTACTGTCTTTTTTTTTTCCTTGCTGAGGGTAAAAAGATTTTTTCTAATGTAAACAAGACCAATGTCTACCTTTTTGACACTAGTGTATATGATGGCAATATGGAACGGTTGTTGTTTTACTCTATCCATTATTTATTAATTGAATGTGATTTTTGCCGTATAAGATTTCCATTCGAGCTTAAATGGCTTGACAAGGGTTGAGATGTAAATAAATGAACGAATCTAACGTAAAATAATCGATTTATCTGCCTGATACACATAATTGAGTTAATTGCCTTGACAAGGGAAGGAGATTATACTAAAAAAATACGATGTTTTTTTTGTTTATCATTAAATCAAGATTGTCCATTAACTTTGTTAACATCAGAACAGACACACTGTGTGTGTGTTAAAGTATGTATAATATAATATATATGAATGTGTGTGTGTGTGTGTATATATATTATATATATGAGTGTTTTGTTCATATATATATATATATATATTAAATATATAATGAGTGTGTGTGTATATATATAATAAATTGATGGATTTTTTTTGTTTATCATTATTTTTGATTTTATTTAAAAGAATATAATAAGTGTGGGCATTATATATATATATATCAGTTGTGTATATATATATATATATATATATAGTGTGTGTGTATATATATATATATATATTTGAGTGTGTGTGTGCAGAATATATAAATAGTATATATATATATATAACATATGAGTTTGATATATTATATATAAAATAAATGGAAGATATTTATATATATATATTTATTTATTTTTGTGTAATATATATAAAAATATATATATATATATATATATATATATATATATATATATATAGCTGTGTGTAAGCAGGGTATACAAAATATTTATGCATGATTTTGTGTAAATATAAAATATATATATGAAGACAATGTGTGTGTGCATAAATATATTATATGATAAAAGTTGATATAGAAAGTGATCTTCCCACACTATAATTCTCAAGGGGAGGAAAGATTTGGGGAAACAAATTGAAGGTCTTTGAAAAATGGAAAGGTTTAAACCAAGGTTGGAAACTATGAGACTGTCCTGGTTATTAATTTCCAAAAAGCAAGAGCTCAGAGTCAAAAAACAATTTCCCTAGAACTTTTATAAAGATCATATATATTGATATATATCGAATATCAAAAGTGGGACTATCGCCCTGTGGGAATGATATAAATTAGGTGTAGGAAACAAATTCAATTTCAAATAAAAATACAACATCAGAAATAATGCTTTGATCTCCTGCGCTGAACGAAAAAATGTAACATTCATTAAAATGAGAAAAATAATTTGTCAATTTGTTAAATGATTTTTGATATTCAGAGCGGCCATACTGTTTTTTCTATTGTTTATGTAATGTTAACCCAGTGTAACTCTTTTTCATTCTGTTTGATCAGGGCCATGTTGATCTCATTTAAAGGTAAAAGCTCTTAAGTGTGACGATCAATATTTTTTGGTAGAATATTATGCTTGAGAAAAAATAATATTTGCTACAACTGCTTTGATTCAATGTCTAGATCAACACAAAGCATGAAATTGTTTTTAAAGGAAAAATCGATCTTCTCTGCTTCCTTTGAAATAATTATGATAGTAGCAGGAAGATATCATCGATAACGGAGGGAAATCGATAGTTTTCAGATTATATTCTTAGATTACAGGAGACCAAAAACAAAGTTCTTCTTTTGTGAACAAGAATCTTGTGATTTACAAACTGCTTGAATCAATTTTTTTGCTTTAACACAATGTCATAACTTTATAGCACAATCAAAACTATTCTGCAGCAACAGACAGCAACTGACGCTTTTACTACTTACTTGTTAAACAAAAGACGATTATATAAATTATATTGTGTTTAAAAAAAGATAAAGTTAAAACTATACCTTTTGAAATTGTCACCTTGTTCATATTTTCTTCTCCCTAAGTCGTGATCATTTAAAATATAGTGTTTTCAGGACGTGGGCAATCAGAGCTTTTCAAGTGTTTTTCCTTCCTTAGCAATATTTCAACCTAGTGTTTTCTCAACTCCAAGTTATTTTTTTTCTATTAACACAAGCTTGCTCGTCCTGGGTATGATGTTAAACTACATCCAACAGCAACGACTCTGATCGAGAGATTGGAGTTTTTGAGGAGCGTGGTACCATCTCTTAATTGTTGTTGTTTTTGCCCCAATGACGCGGGATGGTAGCAATTGTTAGTGTCACAGACATGGAAAATAGTTAACCCCACAAATAAAAAATTTTGTAAATTTAGCAACAATATATTTTATGATCTACAAAATAAATTAAAAAGAAAATTGCCTTTACACTGAAAGTAAAAAAATAACGAATAAATTGTTTGATGTTAAAAGCATAAATTTACGTAGAAAATATTTAGATTTCGGAATTAAATAAACCATAGAGGTTGTTGTACCGCCATAAAAAATAACCAAACTGTTATATACCATGCTAATAGGAATATGGAATGGACAAACACGGTGGATAAATAGTAACTGGTTTATTGTAGAAACCAGTATGTGTGTGCAAGGAAGTAATAGTTATGCGCACCGTCGTCGCAAGTTAGTATTAGTTGTGTGCCTGTTGCTATCGGAAGGCCGCTAATCTGCAGATCCCAGCTTGATGCTATTTAGTGTGCCCAACTCAGTCACATGTGGCACAAGGCCGAATTAAATGTTGGGTTCCTGAGCCCGGAGGAATGACCACAAAATCCCTGTAAACCCCGCATAAGCGGGATCGGGTTCTGTGTATAAAGTGACGAAACTCTGCCCTTCGGCATCGCATCGTGTGTGGTTCCTCACTGGCCCGAAGGCAGAGAGTTCGTGTGTGTTGTAGCGCAGCTGGGAACGATCCCAGTTCGACGCTATTTAGTAACTGCCCCATGCAGTCACCTGTGGCACAAGGCCGAATTTTGTGTGGGGTTTTACTATGAGCCTGTAGCCTCGGCCAAAATATCCCCTGTATTGTGCATAAACGGGATCGGGTCTGTCTACCTCCCCGGACGAAAATCTGCCCTTAGGCATAAACTGGTCTGGGTGTGTCTATGCTCGAAGGCAGAGAGTTCCACTAACGCAGCTGGGAAAGATCCTAGCGCGACTGTTTCCGCCCGCTGTCCTCATTGATACTTATATGTGATTACCACCTATAGTGCTGCCACTCATGTGGGTGGCAGGTATTGCATCACATCACAAACAAACAACATGAAAGAACATTCATGGCATTAGTCCGTATAATATCCTACAATTTCTTAAATTAAACGGTATTCCAAACTATAACTTCAACAAAACTACAACATAAAACCCCCATATCATATGCCTCTAGTAATCATGTCCACACCAATATGTATATACCCAAATCTGTGTATCATCTACTAATTATTCTATTGTGAAAGCAAAATAATGTATATCATATTTTTATTACTTCGAATCTCCTAAGAAAATTCAATTTCGCCATTAAATGACCCATAAGCTGTTGATATGCCGTTAAACAAATAAATAAATTAAAACGCTTTTTCATGTACAATTTTGCTCGTTCAGTATTTTCCACCCAGTATTAAATATGTATATTGAGTGTTAAATTACGCAAAATATCTGTCCTCACGTGTCCCAAAAGTTTTAACTGTCTCATTCGGATTGTCAGTTTCATTGTTGTATTCCATTTTCCTGAAAACATCCTCTTTGCATTAAAAAAGCCGCTGAGAACAGCATGGCTAACGTATGTGCCCATTTTATAGTTTAATATGAAAACGTTTTTGAATATGGGTAAAATATTTTTTATATTAATTTTTACACATGATTGATATCGGCTGTAGGTTCTTCAATATACGTTATTTT